CTTTCAAGTGCGTGCCAGCAGAACCTCTTCTTCCCAAAAGGGCTTATCTTTTTCTTCCATCATAGGCTCGGCTATTGGTCTTTTTGAAAAATCCACCGCACGCCCTTCTATCATAAAGACTTCGGGTTGAGTCACACGAGACTCCTCACAATGGACATGTAGACAGGATCCTCTTCTTCAATCTTCCCCTCTTCCTCTGCAACACTACCCATGAGCGTCGAAAGACCGACAGCATTAAGAGCCAACAGGAGGTGCATGATCGTATATGCAACCACTTAGTATATCCACTTCACCTAATTTTATGAGAAAAACATAAGAATAGTCAATTAATCGTTATAGAACTCAGAGAAGTACAGATTCCACCACAAAAATAGTTAAAAGCAAGACGCTTACCTTCCAACATTCTTTTGAAATAACCAGGCGGCGGTGAATCACCTGATATCAATCTTTGCCTTTGTCAGAGCAGGGTAACTTTTATCCTCCTCAAGTGTCAATAGAAGAGCACCAGGCTTTTCCCATCAAACTACAATAGTTCAGTCAAGATCTTCACCCACTCTTGCAACGAACAAAATAGAAACGCTTCTTCTAGTCAACTGGCATCTTACTTGTAATGTCAAAGAATGTCAAACAAGACGAGAATGTCACCTTATTGTCATCCTACACTTTAGGAGTAAAACCCTGACGAAATAGATTTGTAGACCAGAACAACCTCCGAGCAAACATACATAATGACTACCATCAAACTCGCAATAAAGTTAGGGTTGATCTAAGCAAGCACAAGTCCGAAGAAATGCAGGATATCCTCTATTTTCTCGCACAGAAAATCTCAAACCTGAATGAAATTGAACAAGACAAACGCATTGCACATGCATGTGAACATTATTGTAAGATTCAACCCTTCTTTCATGCATTAAAATAATCACATTGTTGAAGATGTACAATGACTGTGCATCAACCACCATCTTATCATCCATCTGTGATCCTTTTGAAAGTCTGGCCGATAGGAAGGAGGTAGCACTTTTCTTCAAACCAATCACCACTGTCGAAGAAAAAGCTATCACAATAAGATAAAAAAGTTGCGCTGAAAAAGCAAGAAATGCAACTTTATCCCATTTTCTTCCCTCATATGGACAAAAACGTACTAAGATTTCACCTCAAAATTCACAACCAAGATATCAAAAGAGACGAATATCAAATAAATTATAAATAGTCTTTTATAATCAAAACGTTCTAAAAAAAAGATGGTCAATTAAAGAAGAAGTTAGAAAACTCTATTTCGCTCTTATTCAAAAACCTTGCAAACAACTATAAGCCCAAAAATTAATTTCAGGAGATAAAGGTAAACCACTACGACAGAGGAATAAATATCCAAGTAAAATAGGAGTAAACTGGTGTTCTTTACACCAATCAATGTAATGAGTCCTGACTGGAGAAGACGCTCAATTACAAACCGACCTCAAGACAGAAAATTGTCTGAACTATTCGACTCGAGATGACGTCTAAACACGACTAACTCCGTCTTCGTCACCTCCAACTCTCGTCGTATATCGGTGAAACATTCCTCTACCCTTGCCTACAACTCCATAATTTGTTTGTGCTATTTCAGGTCAACTACCACCTTTCTGGCCTCATGATCAACAATGTGTTCCCTGGCATCCCACCAATGCTTCCTAACCTTTGACAAGCCTTCCTCCGGCATGATCAGGCGACACTTCAGATCATCTTGCTTCATAGTATGGATCGCCACTAGTGCAACCGAAGTACTTGTTGCCAATTTGTCAGACCTCCGAGTACCTTCAACTGGAGTAAACTCCACATTTGGATCCAGAACAACATCCCCCTCCTAGTTTGGTCAGCAGCTGCTACGACAGGCTTCAGTAGGGGTTGAACATGGGCATCTCATAGTTTTGATCCCTCTGCATTTCCATCATCATCCTTTTCTGAAGCAAAAAGAGATCATATTCGGGGAGAAAAAAAGCTTCAAGCAGACAAAATAATGTTGTATTAACTTCAGGGAGCAAACCAACATTGCCTTACTCTGAGAATTTGCCTTCTTTACAATACCCCCAATAGGATCGTGCAACTTTAAGGTCTCCACTAGGAGATCACAAGATGTATCTTCCCCTGTAATGTTCCACTCCCTAAAACATTTGGTCTTCTTCTACAACTCATTTGTTAAAGACCAAGGTTCCTTCAATCTTTGTTGATAAAGTTTGGCCAAAAGGCACGACCTTCAGATCCTCATCTCATTGACAGTCTTATCTATCGTAAGATGCCAAAGTTGGAAATTTTCAAAAATCGGCAATTCTTTTTCAAAATAGGACCCCACAACTCACAGAGAATGTGTTTTTATAGGCCTTGAAGGGAGTACATCTTTAAAATTTGTTATCTACTATAATTAATGATATTTTTTAATATCAACTCTATTTTTTTTGGATAGCATAATGGAGTTGCCACGAAAGCTGAGAACACACATATCCAAGATCATGAAAAAAATGAAACAACGTTTATTCTCTAACAAGAATACTATCAAGAACAATGAAGTCCTAACTCCTACTCTTGTTATCTTAATCTTTTCAAAATTGTATCCAATTATGTCGGAAAAGAATCAGTTTTAGTTGTAAAATAGCTCGAACAACTAACCTCCCTTATAATATGAAGTAAGATCATCTGGTTTCAACAGACAGAACTAGGTAAGGTCTAATTCCTCGTAGGTGTAGCCAAATCCCTCCCAGGTCAAGGATTCATGTAGTCGATCCCAGTTAGTGGGAAAAAGGCTAGTTATTGTAGTTGTATTGTACTCCCGGTCTGAAAATCTTTTTAACCCAGCTATAAATTGTGAAAAGAAATGAATATTTTTTTGCAGTCAAGTGAAATCGAGAATCCGCATTCTCTCATTTTTCTCACAGTCTCTAACCAAAGAGCCAAAAGATTTATAGAACTAAATATATACCCAAATATGGTCATATACTTAAATAAAGCTTTTTCAGGCGCATAACATAAGGGTCAACAAGCCTTACGGGCTTTGAAGACCCACATCTAAAGATCGTGTCATTCTCGAGCTAAGCCCAATTGTCAAAGTGGTCGAGCCGAACTCACCTGCCAAACTGGGCGAGTTGAACACATGTGCCAAAGTGGACGAGTTGAACGCATGTGCCAAAGTGGTCAAGCCTAATCCTCCTGCCGAAGTGGTCAAGTCAAACCCTCCTGCTGAAGTAATCGAGCCAAACCCTCCTGCCGAAGTGGTCGAGTCAAACCCTCATGCCGAAGTAATCGAGCCAAGCCCTCCTGCCGAAGAAATCGAGCCAAGCCCACCTAACAAAGTAATCGAGTTAATCTAGAGCAAACAAGCCACTGAAACAGAACGATCATTACTTTAGGGTACAAACATCAATCCGTATTTATAGTGCAACCTAACACCCGCTTTATAATCTTTTCACTAAGACATTACAGGCAGACGCGGTATTGTATGAAATATAATTTTATATTTGTTTTTTCATTTGTATAATAGGGATGTCAAAGGGAGCTTTTAGGGGGATTGAAGATTAAGAAATAAAGGAATTTTGAGATTCTCTTATTATCAAGAAGTGGAAACCCTTTCTTCGAACAGATTCCTGACGGCCCAAAAATCTTAAGAAAAAATAAAGTGAAAAACACAAGCTTTAGCAACTCATCCATCATCTTCTTTCATATCCTCCTTATAAAAACAGGGATGTACGGATTCACAAACAATGCGGGATCCTACGACCTAAAAGGATTTAACAATACTCTAAAAGAGCGTCATTTGAATCACACAAAAGACTTTTTGATACAGGAACTAGTCAAAACCAACGAGAACGAAAGCAATTTTTATTAAGCAAATGAATTAGAGTTACAACACAACACAAAACGATATCTCTCACTTCTAAGAAGACCAGTCGGTCCAGCAGAGGGTTGGACCAGGATCCATGTTGGTCGGTTTAGCAAGCAGCCAATTCAGTCGCAGAGTGTAGCCTCCCAGGTTTTGTGTCTCCCGCGCCCTGTCTTCCTCACACACGTCCCATCTCCCAACCCAGTGTCACTTCTAGGTTGTGGTAAGTGACTTCTAGGCAATGGCGAGCCTATCTAAGTTGGGTGTCTCATTAAGTTGAGTGTGTATCTTAAGTTTAAGCAAGTGATCTAAGTTTGGACATGTGCCTTGAGCTAAACAAATCCTGCTAGGATTGATGGATGACCTCCTATATAGGTGCATTTTTTTTATCATTATTTTAAAATGCATGTTTTAAGTATATAGTTACACTTGGTTTTAGGTAATATTAAAAAGAGGTTTTTATATACCAACCATTCAAAATATTAAATATAATATTTTAACCACTCAAACTTTAAATATAGTATTTTAATCACTTTCTTCAATACAACCACTCTCCTAAACCCACTCATGAATGTTTCGAGTGAAGGTTTTGGGTGGTTAAAATATTATATTTATAGTATTGGTGGTTAAAATGCCATATTTAATGCTTTGAGTTGTTTGTATGTAAAAACCCTTTAAAAAAATTATACAGCAAGCCCTAATAAATGTATATTGTAAAATGAGTAAGCATAGCTACCTTTCAGTTATTAAATTACATAGAGATCTCATGCTGATTTTTAAGTAAGGAGTGAGTTCATGTGAATTCATTGTCAGCATTGTTTAATTTGTAGATTTTTGGCAAGTAGCATTGAAGTTTTAGCTAGTTCTTTTAGCAATTTGAGTTAATAGCCATAAGTGACTTTACCTAGTCAGCCTTAAGGGCGAATATGCTTGATTGAATTAATCATTTCTTTTGCCGACCAGCTTTGAACATGGTCAATTTTGATTGACGAGGCTGGTCCAACTTAACCTATGTAACTTTGGGTGTACAATATGCGTGCATCACTCTTAACACCAAAAGACACCGTTCAACAACCAAGAAGAATCTACTTTAGCGATATGTATGGAAGATAAAATTTCAGTAGGGCGATTTCCCGGCATAACAACTAACCTGTGTGGGCTGTAGCGTTGCAGAGGTGGTGCAGCAAGAGAAGCGGCTAGCCCTAGCTTGGTCTCCGACGAGCGCCCGGGAACGCTGACATAATTTTTTGAGAAAGATGTAAATGGGACGGTGGAATGGTCCGTTGTAGACTCCACCGAAGCTTAACGAAGATGGAAACACCACCGACGCCATGGATTTTAGTGAAGGAAAAGCTCGCCGGAGGTAAAGCATTTTATCCATTTCCCATGACGATTTTGGGTCGGGTCAGACCAGGTTGGATACGGTTCCACCTTAACCCGTGGTTCGTATTTGATATTGAATTGAGCCCGATTCGATTTAAATTTCATACGTGATGGTTTAAATTGAGCTATTTATATTCATTTTAGCTCGGAAATTAAAATAAACTAATTCGTTTTGATAGACCGAGTTTAGATTTAATTAATACAAATAAATTCTATAAAAATTTATCATTTAGATTCTAAAATTTTAATTAATATTACATTATTTATGTATAGAACTTTTATAAATAAATAAATAAATAAACTTCGAGCTGATTTCACGCCAGCTAGAGCTGATCCGTTTATGATTCAAATCTGTTCGACAATTTTGATCTATGGTTTTAGCTTGTAACGCGGCTAGATTGCTTCGCCAAAATTCAAATAAATTTTTGAGTTACTAATAATCTTCGAGCTAATTTCTCAATATTATTTATGACCTCTCTCAAAAGTTTTTTTGAGACATGTGAATACTTATTATCATATTAGGGCGAATAATACTTTTGTTTGTAATTGTAAACATTTTAAATTTTGTTTTGCTCAAAATTTTCACCGCTGAGCATTTTTTTTCAAAATGATTATCTTTTAAAGTTGCACGAAATAAGATAAAAATGCAGGTAGACAACAAATAGGTGGGACTCGCGGTCAAACTATACGAAGACTCGGTCAAAAATTGATTTACTTTATGAAAGTAAAAGTTGATGTTAAGTCAAGAGACGAGCATTTCAAAGTTCTAATTAAACACTCCTTTCGAAAGGCGAGTCGACCTATGTAGCTGGCCAAATGAAGGACAATTGTAAATTAGGTCGAACGAAGGATGTTCATACACCAAGGCAAACAAAGGATATCTTTGAATGAAGCCATACGAAAGACAGCTCATAGTCAAATGAATATGACAGGTGAGCCAAAGAATTGAAGTCATGCATAGGTTTGATCGAGAAGTCTTCACATCGTCCTCATGTGCTTTGGTTCGTCATAACCGAACGAGGAGCACGTGCGACAACCAAAAGTCATGAGGGGCCACCATCAATTCATTATTAATATATTTAAGTATATTGTGCAAATGACCTTAGTACCCCTCAGCTTCTTTGCGTAAAGGAGGGTCTTAAATGTAATTACTTAGAGTATCTCCTATACCTATAAATAAGACTTCATTTTATGACGAAATGCTTTAGTGCTCTCATTTTCACTATTTACCTCTCATTCCTCTCTCATATTTTCTCCTTTTTTGCTCTATTCTTGAGTGTGATTCTCACATTTTATGATTCAATATTCTAAAAGGTGCGGTGAACATGGAACAATGCTACCAACAAGAAGAGAAGCACAATGCAAGGAAAAAATTGTAGCCCATGAGGAAGTATGGAGCCAAGTGGTGGACATGGATAACACAAGGGAGATTGTGCAACAACAAGTGATAGAGAAGAAAGAACAATTAATGTTGGAAATGACAACATATGATAGGTGCTTTTCAAGAAGCTCTAGTCAAGCGAAGTCAAAATATGAAGAGCCAGAACCCCCAGGCATATAGACATCAAGAAGTCGATCGCCAAGATGGGCTAGCACCCAACGAAGGGAGAGACGGATCGACACTCAACGGTAAAAAATATCAAACAATAAAGGAGAGAGATGAGGACTCCCACGCATTCAAGCGTTGTTTACTTCTTACCACATTGAGGGAGTTGGCCCTCATGTGGTTCAACTCCCTCCTGACATAAGTTATCCCCTCCTTTGAGTTCAAAAGGTTGTTTGTAGCACACATCATTAGCGCAAAAAAAACTATGGAAGAAATCCCAAGCTCTCCTACAAATCATGCAGAAAGAAGGAGAGACCCTCCGCTCATACGTCATAAGGTTCCAGCAAAAAATGCTAGAAATTCAGAACCTTGACCTCTTAATCGGAGGTAAAAAAAGTGAACATTTCTAATATGGCTTAGGCTTGTGTGAGCCAAAATCAATGGATGAGTTACTGGAAATGCCCAACCACCATATTGCCACAGAGGAACACATCCTCAATGATTGAAAAGAAGCCCGGAAAGCCGTCGTCGATACTAAGTCACAAAAGAGAGCATTGATAGACTATGGTTGGCAAGTGAAAGATGGCCCGCCATCCTACCTGTCATCATTATGAAGGGAGCCAACCACACCATGAAAAATAAGGGAACACTAAGAGCAACAATTGAGAAAGGAGGTCTCAATACCTTGATCAATAGAGGACCCACCACTACGAACAGCTGCCTACCCAACAAGAGCCATATAAAATGACCCCCTGAGAATTTCAATGGTCGAATTGGTAGAGGCCATCCAAGATAAATAATATTTTGAAAAATCTCAGCAGATGAGGGTTGTGAGTTCAACATGAAATCAAAACAAGTTCTACGCCTACCACAGAGTTCAAGGCCACAACATAGAACAATGCTAACACCTCATAAGCCTTCTAGAGGACTTGATCAAGGCTAGATAGTTGAAAGCATTTTTAGCTATTGGACAACCACTCATATATAGAGGAAATCCCCAACAAACATAGTGTCCAACAAACCCATCCGGGTGAACACCATCTGGATTGAAGGAATAATACCAGCAATACTTGGAGGAGGTAGAGAATCTTATCGACGATCAAGCCTAAAAAGAGTTCAGTCAGGAGAATTATGTGTCACCGCCCTCATCTCATGATGGGTGACACATCCCCACATCATGTTCACAAATGAAGATTTATCAGCTAAAGGTAATCCTTATAATGACACAACTTTCATTACAGCTTTGATTAACAATCAACAAGTGGGAAGTATCCCCATCGACACTGGGAGCTCGGTAAACATCTTGTTCAAAGTGATATTCAACAAGCTTAATCTTGATACACAGCAAATGACGGTCCCTTGTGGGCATTTTTATGGGTTCTCAGAAGAAAGGAAGAGACCCTCGGTGTGATTGCACTGGCAATCAACTGAAGAGACAAGGGCAAACAATTCACAATAACCAATGATGTTTTAGTGGTTAATTCACCACAATTATACAATGCTATCTTCAACTGACCACTAGTAAACAACTTCTGGGTAGTTTCCTCCACTTATCATGTCGCTGTGAAATTCCTAAGAGTTGGAGAGAATATAATTATTCTAGGAGACTTAGAGTAGTCGAGAACATGCTACCTCTAAGTGGTGTTAGCATCGACCATGAGCCGCTTGATTAGTAGAACCAGAGAGAAGGCGGTCTGGAGACCAGTGAGACTACCCTTCAAATACTCGCTAAAGATGATGAGAATGGTATTTTTTTTCTAATTAGAGTGTTTTTTTATTCCAGGTTAAGAGATCTCCTCATCCAGACCCGCATGACGAATTGGGACGTCTTCATCTAGTTCGCCACAGAAATGCCAAGAGTTTCAATAGATGTCTCATGTTATTGACTGAATATCGATCCTACAGCTCGACAGGTGAAGCAAAGTTAAGATTCTTGGCCGGTACTCTAGTTGAACTCCACGAATAGGTGAAGAAACCGATGAAAGCGGGACATATTTATTATGTTCAATACCCAACTTGGGTGTTCAATGTGGTTATGGTGCAAAAGCCTAATAGAAAGTGGTGAATGTGTGTCGACTTCACTAACCTAAAAGTTGTCTACCTGAAAGATAGTCATCCATTGTCAATGATCAATGTGTTGATGGATTTGACAAGCAGACATTTCATGATGGGTTTCCTAAATGCTTTCTTCGAATACCAGCAAATCAAGATGCACCCCGCAGACTCAAAGAAAATGGTATTTATCACTTGTAAGGAAGTGTATGCTATAATAAAATTTCCATTATGCTTAAGAATGTTGGGGCTACTTATGAGTGACTGATGGATGTACTTTTCACAAAATAAAAAGGAAACATTGTTGAGGTGTATGGGGATGATGTATTGATAAAAAGTAAAATGGTAGAACAACACATAAAAGACTTAGCAAAATAATTAAAACTCTTAAAAAATTTAATATGAAGTTGAACCCCCTAAAATGAATCTTCGCAGCCTCAACTAAAAATTTCTAGGTTATCTTCTAAAGGTAACAAGCCCATCCCAAAAAAAAGTGCAAGCATTTCTTAACATGTCTTCTCCCCATAACACAAAGGGGGTACAAAGACTGACCGCTCGAATAGTGGTTCGTTGCCAATTCATTTCAAAGCTGGGTGACAAGTGTGCAACATTTTTAAAAAAATAGAGAAAAATTACAAACTTTGAGTGGACTGCTGAATGCAAAGAAGATTTCAAAAGGCTCATAGATTCTCTAGCCTCGCCACCACTCCTCTAGCATTAGAGGTCGGCCGAGGAACTCTCTTTGTATCTTGGGGTTGGAACCAAAGCGGTCAGTTTATTACTGGTCTGGGAGGAATATAAAAAACAATTGTTATTTACAACAGTTGAGTCATGAGGAAAATCAGGTACTCTGCTATGGAAAAACTAACTTTTGTACTTATCACATCTGCCCATAAACTAAGGCCCTACTTTCGGACAAATCCAATCCAAGTCAACACCGATTATCCCCTTAATTAAGTCCTCACTCAACCAGAATATTCTGATCGACTCCTCAAATGGGTGGTGGAGCTGAGCAAGTTTGGAGTTTCCTACAGCCCCCTGCCAGATTGGAATGAAGGCCCAAGTAGTGACAGACTTCATGGAAAATCTTTTTGAACCACCTGAGCGTTATGTAGCCTATCTAGTGAGCACTACTATCATTAAATCATCATAGATTTTAATGCCACTAACAACCAGATGGAGTACAAGGCACTGATCACTAGCCTATGCGTTGAGTACCATAAGCGAGATCGCCACATCTATGTGAAATCAGACCCACAACTCATAATCAATCATATAAACTGAACTTTTGAGGCTCAGGATGTAGTAATGGCCGAGTACCTCGCTCAGGTAAAAATAGTGATTGGGTGGTTCACCAGCTTCAAAATCGGCAACGTCAAGCAAGAAGATAACTATTTGCTGCACTTTTTTAGAGGTCTAGTCTTTTTTCCTTAGAAGCCTAGGATCTAGCTATAA